ATTCCCCAGCCAGCATTCGCTGGCTGGGGGATTCTAGGAGTTGAAGTCCGGACCTCTTCAAGTTGACAAGGTTGAGAAACACTGCTCTAGGCAACGGTGGCCCCAGAGCTGCCCCCTCCCCCCCTGGGCAACCTTGGTGCGAATGACGTTCTTGTCCGACTCGATGTCAGTCAGGGTGTCGTAGTCGTCCTCCTCCACGGAGCTGAGCGAGTCGAGCCGCGGCCGCCCCACCACGTTCTCTAGGGAGCGATCTGGAGGGGGCAGAAGCCAGCGTTACCGCAAAGGTTCGGGGCTTTGAAAGTGCCGGTCGGCCCGCGCCATCCAATTACCGATGGGGCTGACCGGAGCCTGCTGGCAGTTGGCCTGTGGAGGCTGAGTGAGCAGGAGGCCCGAGGAGAGACGGGGCCCACGGTAGCCGCCCCCCACCCACCACTTCCCAAGCACCCTCGCCCGGCTGATTGGAAGCCATGCAACCCCCAGCAAGGGGAGGGGAACCATCATGCAACCCCCCCCTGAACTTTCTGAGGGGCTGCAGTTCCTCAGGTGCAGAGGGAGGGGCGGCTGAGAGGCCGGACACCCAGGCCCACCCCTGGGGGGCACGGAAGACTCCCTCCCTGGTCACAGGGGCAGCCCCTCAGGAAGCCTCCGTTCGTCAAGGGAAAGGGGGGGGGTCTGGCATCCCACTGCTGGTGCCCTTGCCAGGCAAGCAGCCACTGGGCCAGGCCCTGAGGGGAAGTTACTCGGTGGCAGCCTCCGGGCTCTTCCCTCGGAGGCAGAGGAGCCACCCAGAGAGCCTGAAGGCAAGGGACAGCCAGGAAAGAGCCGGGCCAGAGCCTGTGCAGAGAACACGCCTTGCCCCACTGGCAGCACCGGGGAGGAAGGGAGAGGCCTCAGCGCCCCCTATTCCTTCCAGCCACGGCCCCCAAATGCTCTTAAAGCTTCATTCCCTGCGGAGCCCCGAAGAGGGGGGCTTGGCCCACGGCTGCCAAGGAGGAGCCTCCGGCCAGGCAAGGGGCACAGGAAGGAGATGCCAGACTGACGGGGGGGGCAGTCTCTCTCTACCCATTGCAAAGGCTGCCCAGTGTCTCTGCCGCTGCTGGCACATGTGCTGCCCTTGGGGAGAAAGGAGAGAGTTACACAGAGTGGGGCCAATCCTGCCCAGAAGGGCCCCTTTGCAAGCGGAGGGCAGCGCAGCCCAGAAAGCCCCTCCTCCTCCACACGCATGCAGGGGGCAGCCAGGCGACAGGAAGCACCCTGAGCGCCAGTCACGCGTCTCACCGGCGTAGTTGGAGGAGGCCTCTGTGGAAAGCAGGCTGTCCGTGACGTTCTCGCTGCTGGCGGCCGACCCCGTGTCTGCTGGGGGGGGGGAGCGAGGGGGCCCCCAGGTGAGTCACCAGCCAGGTATGGGGGGGGGGGAAAGGCCCCCACCGGGCCCAGCCGGGAGCCGAGGAAAGCATCGTCGTCCCCAATAGGCAGGAGCCCCCTCCCCCCTTTTCTGCTGGCCGGGAGGCTGGAACTCACCAAAGGAGCCGTAGCTCTGACTGCTGAGGGCAGGGTGTCCCTGGAAGGAATCCGGAAGCCCCCCTGCAACAACAGAGCCACAACTCAGCCTGAAAGGAGCCCCATCACGGCCTCGGACCGGCCAGCCCCTCCGAAGGGGAGCTCCCAGAAGGGCCACTCAGTGCGGGGGTGGGTGGGGGTCTCTGCAGCTGATCTCAGGGCCGACCCCAGGGGAAGAGGGGTCTCCCCCAGCACAGGAAGCAAGAAAAGCCGAGTTGGGGGGTGGGGGGGGAGGCTGACTGCTTACCAAGAAGAGAGGCTTGGCGTGGAGCAGCATCCCGGAAGGAAGGAAGGAGGAAAGGAAGGAAGGAAGAAAGAAAGGAAGGAAGAAGGAAAGGAAGGAAGGAAGGAAGGAAGGAAGGAAGGGAGGAGGAAAGGAAGGAAGGAAGGAAGGAGGAAAGGAAGAAATTGTTTATAAACTAAGGCAGCTGCCTGATGTGAGGGAGACGCATGCTGTACTTCTGAAGAAGGGCTCTGAGCTCTTCAGTCCCCACATGCCACTTCCCAGCCCAAGAAGATCAAAATCTAAGCGTGTAACATCTGTGTAACATCCGTGTAACATGCACAACCAGCAACTGGTTCTTGCAGCACCCTGACCGCATTTCAGCGCAGTCCAGCACGTTGTGCAAACCCACCATGAGTTATGGAGTGAGGCTGATTCAGCTCTGGGGCTCCAGCAACTGAGGGCTGGGGGTCCCTGGAAGAGTCAGACCCCCAAGGGGGTTTCAGCATGCGCCTGCCACCCCCCGCCGGGACTCAGCAAAAGGCCTGCAGCCGTCAGGACCACGAGCACCGCGAGCAGAAGCCGAAGAAAAGGACAGGCCCCTCCCCGGCCACAGACCACCCCCCCACCCCCTGAGGGCACCAGACCCCCACCTACCTCGCACCCCCCCATCGGAACAGGGAGTGTCCACCGCACTCAGGACCTGGAGCTGCCGCTGCCTCCGCTTCTGCCGCCTGCAGAGCAAGGAAGCCTCCTGAAGGAACGTGCGGCTGCCTTCCCCCTCCTCCCCAGGAGAAGCGGGCATTGGGTGGCATGAACGCTGCCGCCCGGAAGTCCCTCTTGCCCGCCCTTCCCCTTCGGCCCCGCCACACAAACAGGGCAAAGCCGCGTTTTCCACTGAGGCCCTGCCCCCACTGCCAAGGAAAACAGGCTCCACGACAGCAAGGGGGACGGGAGTGTCAGCGCCCAAGGCATTCCCTTGGCAGAGGAGCCCCCATGGGCACACTCACCGCCAGTTCTCCCAGCAGGCAATGAGCAGCGTCAGGACGTAGAAGGACAGGAAGACGGCCAGGCAGAAGAGGATGCCGTTCAGGTAGGTCTCTGCTGTGGAGGAGCCGGGGAGACGCCCTCACGCACCTGGCAGGCCTGGCTAGGAAGCCCCTGCGAGCCCAGGGCTGCCGGCCCCCCTCCCCTCCCAGCCCAGTGGCTGCCCTCTTGGCCACCCCAGCCACTAACCTGAGCTCAAATGTTCCTGGAGATGCCCCCACCCCCAATCCAGCCAGGCCCTGTGCTACCCACTCCTTAGGTCTACAAGGAAGCTCCAAGTCAGGAGGAGGAGGAGGGGATGCCCCCCCTTCCTTCTCCACACAGGGGAATATGCCGCTGAGGTGCTTACAACTGACTGCAGGGGTCACCACGACGTCCAGGGTTTTCTGGCGGTGGCCTTGGTCAATAGGCTCATCTGGGAGACGGAAAGGGCGGGATCAGCTCTCCTAACCCTGACCCTGCAGGTGGCAGAGTTCCAGAGGCCCTTCCTCCAGCCAGCCACCTCTTTGCCCATCACGAGGGGCTCCCTGGAGGCCCTGAACTCAGGTGATCTTCTTGCCCCAAAGATGGGAGGCTGGACTAGCTGTGAACGTGGAGGCCAGAAGGCAGAACGACTCTGGATTTCCGGGGCCTCTTAAAAACCCTTCCAGCCTCTCCAGATGTTACAGGAGAACAGGCTGCTTTCCTAGTCTCCTCCTCCTCATTCCCCTTATGTGCACATCTGCTTCCTCCCCCAAATGCACTGGTGGAAGCGACCAAATGGGGACGGGGGATCAGGGGAAGAAGCCCCAGAACACAGCCTCGCACCCCCAAGCCTGGCTCCCAGATCCCTCACGTGCCGGGCGCTATCGTCCCTGGAGGCCTTCCTGGCCAGTCAGCTGATGAAGCCTCCACAAGCAGCCCTCAGCCCAGCTGCCCCCCCCCCCCCCCCGATACCTTTGGAAAGAGGGTAGTAACGTAAAGGCCCCCCACAAGCTTCATCTTCGGTCTTCACTACCACGACCACGTAGAAACTGTGGCTGGGGAAATCCTTCTTCTGCGAAAAACCAAGGAATGGAGAAAATCTTTGAGTGAAGATCAGAGATGAGGGTGGTCTTCAGAGGCTCCTTGTTCGCCCCCTCAGGCGTCCTGCTTTCTACTCTCTAACCGTTGTGTTATAGACAACGCATGGACGACCCTCCGGAGACTTGAGTTGGTAGTCCTAGGCGGCTGCTTCAGAGGCCAAGGCAAGATGGGCCATTCAGGCCAACCGATGCCAGCGCCGGCTAACTGACATCCGCGATATTATCCCATATTAACAGGGCCAGTCAGATTACTGGCATCCCAGTTGTACCTGCACGGTGATCGCTGCCTTCTTGGTCATGGTCTGGTAGGTGCCAATGAAAGCCACGTTGTTATCCAGGTCGTAGACGGGACACTGGGCAGTAAGAGAGCAAGCCAGAAGGGGCAGTCAGCCTCTTGGGCAAAAGGAGGCCTGCAGCCCCCTGGGTCCTATAAGCATCCCCCACCCCTCACTGACCAGAATGTCCTGGACGGAAATGACCGAGCAGGGAAAGGCCGTGGTTGAGGTCACTTTAATGATGGCGGAGTCCAGCCCCTCGGGGAACTCGTACTTGAAGTACTGTGCGCCAAGGAGAGAGAGAGAGAGGAGAACCGTTTCAGAAGAGCCTGGCTGATGACACCTCCCTTTCTTCGGGCACCACACCCAGCCCCCAACCCGGACCTTCTCTGCCTGCCAGCTGTGGGGGCTCCTTGGGGGCCCTTCTTGAGGCTGGGAAGCTTCGTTGGGCACCTCATCAGGGAAGCCAAGCACCCAAAGGCCTCATCTTGGGGACCCACAGCGGGTGCTCCGAGGGCAGGGGGGTCACAACAAAGGGGCTGCAGCTTGGCAGGCGGAGGCCTCCCACCGGTCCTGCCTGACCCCCGGCCTCAGGACAACAGAAAGGCCTGTCCGAGTGCCGGGGTGAGATGGACAGAACCTCCGGCTAAGTGTCCCCGTTTGCCAGGCAGGTCCAGAGTTCAGAGATGCCCAAGCCTTGGCCGGGGGTGGGTGGGTGGGTGGGTGGCTTCTTCCCCCCACCCAGGCAACACCCACCTGGCCTGCCGGGAGACCTACCTGTGGCTGGGCTGCTGTGGCGTTGAAAGTGAAGGGCTCCCCTGTCCTGCATTGAGAGAGACCAGCAGGGGATGCGGTTGGTGCAGGCAGGGCTACCACAAGGGGGGTCCCACTGACCGCTTGCCCCCTCCGCTCAGAGACCACCCCCCTCCCCCAGCAGAAACTGAGAAGCTCCTCCTCCTCCTCCTCCTCCCTGGCCGACGGACTGACGGGGGGTTTTGCACTCAGGGCTTTTTTCACTTCTGGGGCAGCGCATGGAGAATCTGCCTGCCTTCCAGGGCCCACCCGGGTGCTCCGCCCTCCTCCCCTCCCCATGGCCAGGACCCTCGCCCCACCTTTGCCCTTGGCCTCCCACCGCCAGCCCAGCTCACCTGAGCACAAAGTTCTCCACGCGGGAGACCCGCAGTTGGTAAGAGGTGTTGGTGGTCGAGAGGGTGGAGACGTCCACGAAGAAAAACTGGGTCTCCACTTCGCTCTTGGTGGGCGGCTGGCACAAAGTGCGGCTGACATCTTGGTAGAGGTACTTCCTCTGGAACCTGCCAGGGGGGGAGGAGGAGGAGGAGCTGCTGCTGCGGGGCCCCTTCCCTTTAGGGCCACAGAGCCATCGGGGTCCCTGGGGCTCGGAGCACCCCAGAAGCAGCCAGCCTCCCTTTCCCGCTGCTGTTCCCTGGGGGCAGCTGGAGAGCCAGGCGGGGCCCGGCTGCCAGGAGCGGGCTAGGAAAGGGCGCCAGCTGTTGGCCCCAGCGGCCCTCCCGGTTGCCGGCTTCCCAGCTGGGCCGTCCCGTCGGAGGAGCCGGAAGAGGACGGCGCGCGGGAGCGGGGGAGGCTACTCACAGGCCCCGGAGGATTAAGGGCACTTGGAAGGAGACCACCGCCTCCTTCTGCCGCACCACGAAGAGCACCGGGAAGAGCACCGGCCGCTCCTTCTGCTGGGAGATCACGTTCACCGACACCCGGACGCCTTCCGTCTGTGGGGCAACGAGAGCGGCGCTCAGGCCCAGCCGCCTCTGCAAAGAGGCCCCCGCGCGCAGGGACCGCCAGGCAGGCGGGAGGAGCCGGGCACCACCGCCGGGGCCAGCTGGCAGGCGCGGGGCAAAGGTCGGGTAGCCAGGCCGGCGGGGGCGACCGGGGCCTCGGCTCGGGAGGCGCCGGCGCCGCCCCCGCTTCCTGCCGCCCGAGGTGCCAGCGCGTCTGGCGGGCGGGCGGAGGCGGCTCACCCGGTTGCGGGAGACGCTGTGGTTGAAGGCGTAGATGTTGAGCAGCTCCTCGTTGACGGCGTCGCCGTAGAGCTGCTCGAAGGCCGCCTCCTTCTGCACCACGCGCTTCTCGGGCGGCCCGGCCGCGGCCCCGCGCAGGGGAGGCAGCGGCAGCAGCGGCAGGAGCAGCAGCGACAGCGGCGCCCTCAGCATGGCCGGCGGGCGGCGGGGGTGGCGGGCCGGCAGCCGCGGGGACGGGCGCTCCGCTCGTCTGGGCGGCGCCGCCGAGGCCGCGTCCTTTAAAGGGAGGCGGGCGAGGGCGGGCCGCGCAGGAGGAGGAGGAGGAGGAGCGGCCGGCCTGCCTGCCTACCTGCCCCAGCCAGACGGAGCGGCGCGGTGGAGGCCGGCGGCCTCGCTTGGAAGGCGGCGGTTGGCCCCGCTGCGAAGCCCCCGGGCGGAAAGACCCCCCCTCCCAATTAGACGCGGAGAAGCGTGGACGGAAGAGAGACCTCCATAGGGAAAGACGCTCACAGCCAACGGGCTCTACCGGCCACCGGCGCCGCTTAGCCAGAGCAGGTTCCTCCCTCGGGGGGCGCAGGGAAGCCACTGACGTGGGAGGGGAGGGGAATGTTACCCCCCAACTCGGCTCTTCCTCCAAAGTACGGGCGGCCCCTTCCCACATGCAGGCCACAAGATCAACGGTGCCTTCATCTGCGCTCCCCGTGCGCTGCAACGAATAGGAAACGGGCAATGCTCGGATATCACAGGACTGGCAAGTGGTGCTCCTGGGCGGGCAGCAGATGAGCCAACCTGAGTCCCCAGCAAATGTGAGGAGCAGGACCTCCATGGGGCACAAGAAGGCAGCAAGATATAGATTGCTGTTGCCAAGGATGCAGCCGGGACCTCAAGCGGCCTCTGGTGAGGCTGCCAATCCCATGGGGAGACACGGGGCTTTCTTAGTGAGGACACTGGCCAAGGCCTGGGTGCAGGAGAAGCTGCTGGGCTCCAAAGCAGTCATGGCTGGGAAAGGGCCAAGCCTCAGGCCAGAGGTATCTCTGCAGGAAAGCAGCAAGGTGCCACTGCAATGTCTCCTGCCCACTCCAATCCCAGGATGCCAACACAGGGGACCTCCGGAGGGTGGATTCACTCTGGGAATTCTTGAAGCCTTGTGCTTTTGCCAAGCTGATGCTTGTGCTGGGAGATGCAAGGGAAAAGATGATTGGCTGGCTGACCAGGGCAGGATCCTCTGGAAGACACGATTGGTCAAGAGCACATCCATGAACGGAGGCATCTTCTCAGAACAAATGCCAAGTGGGTAAAGGATGTCTTTCGAGGGGCTACAGCTGGGGTGGCCTAGGGTGGTTGGGGGGGGGGAGAAGAGAAATTACAGTAACATCTGTATTCCTTACTGCATTCTCAGGTATCAAACCACATTTGGGGAACGGGGGCCCATCACTTGCTCAGGTAAAAAGGAGTCAAGTATCTTCCTTCTTCGCTGCCTGTTTAGGGATAAAATCTTTCTCTCCCAATCCCACTTATTATCTGAGACTGAAAGTTCTTCCCAGAAAAATCTCTATGAACTGAGGCATTATACTTCAGAGGTTTTTTTCCCTAAAAACTATACTCTGGCAGACCTGGAATATCCTGGGCAGATGAAATGGCCACGGCAAAAGGACTCATTTGCACAAATACTTGTACAAGGCTGACCCCCACCCCGTCCCGCCCCAAAGAAAGGGACGTCCTGGGATTGTGAAGCTCAGCCCTTGCAAGGGAAGGGGGGGTGGGCCAGGGGAGGGGTGCAATGGAACAATCACTTGCTTTTTGCTCTTAAAAATGAGCGTTCTGCAGCAGATAACCTAGCAAGAAGAAGCGTCAGTTTAATCTGGATGGGAATGAGCAGACAGGCTCCAAGGCCTTGGACAAGTTGGGAGTGTTGCACCAACACACCTCAGAGGCAGGTTTTTTCCGAAGCCGACCACCCCCCATCCTGTTCCCAGCAAGGGAATCACATCCTTTTAAACAAAGAAATGAAATAGCCAAGTTAAATGTTCACTCACTCAACCCATAATTGTTCACATGTATCAAGTTGTCACAGGTAGCCGTCTCCTGTTCTGGTTTGTTTGCCAAAGCAAGAAAGCAGCTAATATCACTTAAAACAAAAACCCAAATCCAGTAAATATAAAAACTCTTCAAACAATTCCAACTTTTAAAGAAGCAGCTACTTTTCAGTCCAGGGAGTGGAATGTGAGTGCGACCGATGAGTTTAGGCATTTCAATGCTGTGGGCAGCCTGGACACTGAGGAGGCAGGAATGGGAAAAGGAGAGCAGCAGGAGCCAACGGGCCGCTGACCAGCATTCTCACCACCCCAGGAGGGAGAAGCGGCCACGGGGAGATCCTGTTCAGGCCAAGTGACCAAAGAGGCCCTGGGACATCTTTGGCCAGCCACAGGCTGCGGGACCGGCCGTGCCACCCTCCACCTCCCTTTCCAGGGCTGAACACAACACCCAGTAACATTCAACAATGGGAAGCATGTTGAGCGAGGATTCAGTAGTGCCATGGAAAACAGAACTGGGCTGATGGCGGTGGGGTGGGGTGGGGAGGCTGTCAGGCCAGGGTTGCCTGTTTCTCTTCCGGGGTTTCCTCCAGCAGCTGCATGATGAGTTCATGGAGGGGTTTGCAGATCTTTGCGTAGCCGGCACCCGTCAGGTGCAGAAAATCAAACATGTCGTGGCATGAAATGGCGCCATCCGAGTGCACAAAGCCCCCATCCACATCCAGCAGCTGGACACTGGCCAGCTTCGGCAAGGAGGCCTTCAAGAGCTGGTTCACCTTGGAGTTCTTCTGCCGCAGCAGGTTTGGCTTCTCACCTCGAGGGAGCAGGCCCTTGAATGAGGGAGGGGAGAAGTGCAGGTTAGCAGGAAAGCTCCCCCAGACTCCCATGTTTGGCTTTTCCACAGCCACTTTTAAAAAGATGAATCAACAGGAGGAAAATTATACTATCATGTATTGCTCTTATGTAAAGACTTCCTTTTTCAGGAGAACATGGCCATCTTAGAGTTGCCTTTATGAAAGAAATTATCCAGATGCTTACAAAATTAAGCTGCCACAAACAATGATTAAATTAGTAATTGTCTGAGGCAGCCTTCCAATTCTCCCCCTCAGCCAAGGTAAGGCTTCTCCAGTGGACTTTCTGTAACAAAAGCCAGCACTTTTGTTCTTCTTATGATGCTTCCCTTCCACCTGATTACAAAAATATGCAAATGCACCGCAGGTGGTACTTTTACATACCAGTACAATGATTTTAGCCTGGGGCTGCCGGGTATTGATCAGTCTCACGATGGCCTCTATTCCACCAGCTACTTCCTCTGCTGTGTTTTCATGGTTGTTGGTTCCAACCCAAAGAACAACGACCTGTGATTGAGGGAGGGACCAGAAAGAGAGAAAGATTTCTGCATTGCCTGGCTTCAGATAGAAATGCAACATCACAAGTGGCCCCTAGGATGTTTCAGTGCCCAGAGAACGTGGCAGTCACAGCTCTCCGCTCCCTTGCCAGTCAGATACCAATCAGACTGTGCAGGTAATAGCTCTGAATTAGAATAACATAGGAATGCTTTGGGTGTAACAAAACCCAGCAAAGGGCACTGTGTGTGGGGGGGGGGGGGGGGGGGGGGAGGGAGGAGAGAATATTAAAGGAGGTAATGTTCTTTCTCACAATTACAGGCACCTTACCTTGGGCTTAATATTTTCCAGTTCACCGTTCTTCAGTCTCCACAAAACATGTCCTGTAGTGTCTCCACCAATCCCAAAATTCAGTGCATGTAATGGTGAAAAAAGTTCTCGCCATATCTGCAATGATAAATCTTTGGAATCATCCCTGAACAAAGGCAGGGGATTTCAGGAATAAACTACTGATACGCTTAAGCATTCAGCGGTTGCTTAGATTAAAAGGGAACATTTTTATTCAGGCTAAAGCAAAGAATCCATCCTCGGTCATCTGCAATCCAGATAAGGATGGGAAACACTTGAAGCCCATTGGACACTTCTGATCATCTGGAGGCCTGGAAATCATCTTGTGATGTCACCAAACCTTCTGGATTGCGAATGGAATTGGTTTGTCTTTGGAAAACCTCCCATGCCCGTTCCCACCATGCAACACACCACCACAAAAAACAACCAAATGATGATACTGAAATCCAGGCATGATGCCTTCTGTGAGGGTTTTGGATGCTGCCCTGTCCCCCAGGGGCCAGAGGTTGCCCACTGAGGTGGCACCCGGTCTACCCCAGCTGCTTGGGCTTCCTCAAACCGCTCACAGATATGCCTTCAGGGTAAGAGATGCAAAGATCCTTTTCGACATCTGCTGGTATTTTGCTGTATGAGTTTTTGCCCCACCTTTTCAAATCAGAATTATCCAAACTTTTCTACTGAAAACCAGTTTGTTTATTGATTGAAATGTTGATTACTGACCAATGTAAAGCTGATGAAGAGGTGGAATGCTGTACCACGGCCAATGTGCAGTTTTACTAAATTAAAAGGGAGTCCCATAAACGGGTCGGATTCTCCCAGCCGGGGAGCCAAAGGAGCCCCCCCCCCGTACCTCGTATTGCTGCAGCAACTGGACCATGGAGTCGCCCACGAAGAGCACGTCGGGCTCCTTGTCCTTGCAGTCCAAGACGAAGCGGTTGTGCTGCAGGGAGGGAGACGAGCAGCGTGAAGGCACCGGCGGCTCCTCCGCTCCGAAGGGCCGCCGCTTCCCCCCGCCGGGCCTCTTCCCCGGGCGATGACGGGCACGGGCGAGGCTCACCTGGGACATCCACCGGTCGTCGCCCTGCACGTCTTCCGCGATGTGGGCCGTGGCCGCCGGGTTGGCATCGCCCTGGCTCCTCCGGTCCCTACCGGGAGAGAGAGAGAGAGAGAGAGAGAGAGAGAGAGGAGGGGTGGGCGGGGGCCTCCCTCCCTCCCGCCTCCGCCCCGCCCGTCGCCATGGGAACCGGCCGCCCAGGGCCCCGCGGCGCGGGAGGAGGCGGGCTCGGCGGAAGCTGCCCGGAAGGGGCGCGCGTCCTTCGCCCGCCCCGCACTCACGCTGCCGGCGACTGCGGCTGCCCCCGCGCCTCCATGGCGGCTCCTCGGCGACGATCCGCTCCGCCCGCTCGGCCTCCCCGCGGCTCCCACGGGCGCGCCCCTCCCCCGCTCCGGCCGCAACGCAGCGCGCCTGCGCGATGACCCGCTTCCTCCGTCTCCGCAGCTCTGGCCGGAAGTCCCGCCTCCGGGCTCCCTGCGGCCTCGGCGTTCTCCCAGGAGGCGCCTCTCGAGTGACGCGCTTGGGGGGGCGGGGCCTCGGCCGGCGACGTCGAGCGGCCTCCTGGGGGAGCCCCGGAGCTGCCGGCCACGTGGACTCAGCCGCGGAGGCTCCGGGGAGATCGGAGCGCGGAGCTCGGGACCCCCGTTGCTGAGCGAGGCCCGGGGCGGACGTGGCGGCGGCCCCGCAGGCCCAGCGGCGCAGCCCGAGGAGATGGCTGTGGACGGTGGGATCCCTCCGCTGGAGATCATCTAGCCCCACCGACTGGAAGGGGCTTGGGCCGGAGTCCGGCGCAGCTTTCCGCCTGAGGAGAGCCAAATCTTCCGGAGTCTGGGTTTGGGGGAGCTCCGAAGCAGCCCCGATGCGGCACGTCCGCTGGAGACCCAATGGCAGCCTCACTGCCTGCTCCCGGCTCAGACCCCCTTTCTTCAGCTCCAAAGCCTCCTGGCCACTAAGGGTTTCCTTGGAATGGGCAATAAATATTTGAAATCCGCTATGTTGGGCCTGATTCCCTGAGATCCGAAATAGCTGACATTTTAAAATTGGAAACCATGTAATGTTAACCATTGGATGATCATCTGTCCCAAAACAAAAATACGTTTAATTGCTGAATTGCAAATGAATTAGGAGCCAAAGAGGCTCTTGACACGGGTGGAGGAGGAGAGGGCAAAGGTTGGCTTGAAACTCAACATTAAGAACACTAAGATCATGGCATCTGGCCCTCTTAATTCTTGGCAAATAGATGAGGAAGAAGTGGAGGTAGTGACCGATTTTATTTTCCTGGCCTCCAAGATCACCGCAGATGGGGACTGCAGCCAAGAAATTAAAAGACGCTTGCTCCTGGGGAGGAAAG